AGGACATACAGTGTGAATACTTTAGTTATTGAGACATCTGCAAATTGTTTACAAGACATGATTCACGGGCTGCAGTTGTGAAATGGATGAGGGAGGGGTTGTTCTGAGGGGCTTTACCTGCCTGCGAATCTCCTTTACAGTTGCCAGGGGCTGAATTGTCTTCTCCCCGACCCCACCCCATTCATATGTTGGAGACCTAAATGTCCCACGTGACTACACCTGAAGTCTGCAGGCTATAAAAGATTAAATGAGGTCATGAGGGTGGAGCCCTAATCTAACAGGACTGTGTTCTTACCAGAGAGAACTCTGCCAAGGGAGAAGAAACCAGCTATATGAGCCATGAAGTGCTCATCAGGGTGCATCCAGCTAGCATCCTAATGTCAAACTTCCAGCATCCAGAACTGTGAGAAATAATTTTCTGTGTACACTACTCCATGATGGCAGACTAAGACAAATATGTCTTCCCTTCGAGCTAAGTGTCCCTCCCTACCACCTCCACCACCTGGCGTGTTGTTCAGAACTTCCACTGTTGTCTCATTTTTAATGCATAACCATGAGAGCTGAAATCGGTGAGATTTATTTTTAAATGAAGAAGTTAAGACTAAGAAAGATTACATGACTGAAAGTCAGCCCGAAGAAGCAAAGCAGGACCTGAGTCTCTCTAAACAACAGCCAGTCAGACCCAAGTCGGTGCCAGTTTCTCAGGGTAGAAAGATGAACGTGGCTGAGATGTAGGGAGGGCACAGCCAGGTCAGGAAAAGAAATACAGGAGCAAATAATTACAGAAGTGTCTTCTGGGGTTAATTGACTCAGCAGGTAGGAAGGGAGGTCAATCTAGGCGGAGGAAGCCGGGAAATGCGTCTCCGGGGGGAGCCAAGGGTACTGCTGGGGTTGAGGGTGCAGTGGAGGGAAGAGAGGGCAGATGTAAGCCAGATACCATTGGAGATAGGCTCTTCATCTCCCTGCCGGAGACTCCGATGGCCTCCCTTGGGCTCCGGTCAAAGGAGAGAATCAAGCACGGAGAGCAAGGCAGAGTCCTAAAGGAACTCGCGTCCCTAAGGAAGCAATAGGAAACTCTTCAATTAGGTTCATATTCACACATCTACAGTAAATTGCCTTTGTTTGTTAGACCTGGGGTCTCACAAGGGTAAGTCTATTACAGCCCTAACCATTTGTAAGTAAGTGAGAATATGCCTTAATTAAAAGGTAAAAAGTGCACACCTTTGGCTTGCAAGGTCTTAACTCTCGGTCAGTGCTTTTCCAGAATCCCTGGCCTCCTGAGGCACAGACTTTCTGAACTGAGTACGTGAGCATCCCTCACAATAGGAATGCAGATAATGACCTTCATTAATGAAGGAACAAGCATCTGTCCCCTTCCGTGAGCAACAGAACGAGCCCTTGCCGTTATAGTCTGGTGGGAAGATTCGCCTATCTTCTGTTTTCTTTGTGGGTGCGATTTGCATGCTTGTGTTTATCACATCTTTAATCCACTCTGCTTTTCAAGGATTTATCACGTTGCAAGACTTGAATACTCTCTCTAGGGGAGGGGACTATAGGTTGGGAGAGAAATGGGCCCAGCAGGGGTGTTTGTACTTTAGAGCCCCTCGCCCAGAAACTGAGTTCCCTGGGCCTGCCCACCTCCCCAGGGGACTCATTCCGAGCACCCGGCCAACAGCCAATTTAAGGTCTGGCTCAGGGATTTGAGCTTCTCCCTGCCTGGCACTGAATGAACACTACCACCTCTACCTCACTGGAGACCTCATTAGGACTTGAACTCTGGTCTTTGTTCCTTCCCAGCGGGTTCTTTTCAGAGGGAAAGGTGGAAAGAGGAGGGGTCAGGTAAGCCCACAGCTCCCAGAGCAGCAGGAGTCCAACAGCCTCTGAGATCCGGAAAGTGAGTAAACAAGCAATTACTGGGGAGAGAGCCTAAAGCTGCAACCAGAGAAGCAGCCTAACTAATTCGATTCTACTCCCCGCAGGAGAGGACCGAGCCGTCCTCAAGCCCTCCTCCTACCCAGCTTCTTGGGGCTAATTCCACCAGCCTCCATCTGCCTTTCAAGTGAAATTCCATCCCTAGTGTGAGCAGGGTCCCAGGAGTAAGAGGAAGACCATTACCAAGACGGAATTCTTGGCTTGGCCGCTGCCACCCCTGCTCTTTGTTGTAAGAAGAAAGAATACAGTGTGCTGTAACGGTCCCTCTTCCCATAGCCTATGTCTTTTGGATCTCTCTGCTAGAGAGGAGCTAAGAAAGAAGGAGGTGACTCAGAACTTGCTTCTCAGAACCTGGAGTGGGAGCCCAGATGGGCTGCAGGAAGTGTGGGGTCGGAGTGAAAGAACCCCCACATTCCTCCCTTTTCGCTCCCAGCAGCCTCCTGCCTACTGCTAGTAGACTAGTCCCCAGTTTGCTCACTTCCTCTGCTTCTGCTGACATCAGTGCAGATCTTGTCACAGAAGGGCCCCTATGTAGATAAGACTGACTTCTTGCTATTACTGCCTTCACAGACTTGATAACTTAGTGGCGGTTTGGAAGGAGAGGTAAAATCTTCCAGACATTAAACATGTCCATGAGGTTGGGCGGTGATGTCACACAACGTTAACCCCAGCAGAGGCAGGAGGGTCTCTGTCAGTTCAAGGCCAGCCTGCTCCACAGAGTGAGTTCCAGGACAGCCACAGCTGTTGTGCCAAGAAACCCTGTCTGGAAAAACAAAACAAAACCATGCCCTGAATAACAATACAAGACAACATACAGTAGATTCCACTGCTGGTTTTGGTCCCAATAATTTCTCACCTGGCCTCGGGACCTTTCTACATGCAACTCTTATCAGTATGAAAAGATTTCTCTCTATACTCCAAACTTAGCTGATTCCATGGAAATCACTATAAAAATACCCCCAGCCTCTTCTAAGCTAAGCATCCCTCATCAAATTCCTGTACCATTATAGTATTCAACCCAGATTGTAATAATCAATTTTTGTACCCTTCCTCCTGTCTAGACTCTAAGTTCCCTACTCATCTTTGTATCTAGTTCCTACATAGGTTAGGCAGTAAGTGATGGCTGAATGAGAGGCTGACCAACAGACAGAAGGATATGGGATTCCAGAGACTGATAATATCACCAAATTACTCTGCAGGATGAGTAACCTCCTAGGTACTGGTTAGAGCCTGGGGAGTAGAGTGTTGGGCAGAAGGGAAAACAGACTGACTTGAGCATTTAAAGTCAAGGGTGGTGACAGTATAAAGCAGGCTTGGGAATGAGCTTCAGCGGGAAGGCTGGGGAGAGAGGAACTTTGTTGGAATCCTGGTACTGAGAGGGGGTGTGAGTAGGAGAACCAGACAAAATCCGGGAGAAGGCCCTGGATGCAGACAGTAGAATCTGGGAGAGTGTTTGTTTTTAGAAATAAATAGTTCCAGCTAATGAAAACAGAAAGCAAACAGACTGGAGGAACTTTGGACTCTAGGTTTCATCTTGTCTCTGGGTGGGCTAAGCATATACAGACCTGTGAGTTAAGACCTCACCCTAGCTTTTTAAAACGCTGGGACAAAAGTCTAGTAGTGATGAGGTTTGTAAATCACATCATAATTTTAACAGGAAATGATCCCACTACCAAGAGGTCCTATTCCTTCTTTGACATTTTGCCCTATGCTCTCTCTGGAGAATTTGGTTATTCTCTCACCCAATCTACAATTCAGTCTGTTACCTTTTCCTGCTTCTCACATCCCTCCTGTTTTCTGACTCTGAGCTTATTTTAGCCTTGTTTCTCTTGAGATCATCACAGACATCTGTCTCTCTTGCCTTCCCCATCCGTCCACGCCACTCTCACCCACTCCTCCTTTCCCTCTCCTTACTCTCCTTACTCTCCCTCCAGTTGCCTTAACTGACCTAAAACCGCTCGGCTCCCCTCCCTCTCCTCTCGGTATCCGCAGCCTCTTGGTTGGACATGTCTCAACCTGTTTCCAGCCTTCCACTAACCCTCCACAACACTGGAAAGATAGATGAGGTCAGACGTGGTGGGGAGGGAAAGGGAGAGAAAATTTCATTCATGACGGGCTTTCCGAATGGGGATAACTACAAGCACACTCACGTGTGGGCATACCAAGTGGACATATGTGTGTCTTCTGCAGGTGAGAAAAGCAAACATTGCCTTCTTCATGGAACATACTAACATTCCAATATCTTAAACTCTTACCATGTTAAGGGGACGGTACATCAGAAACCTCTCTGTTTAGGCATGGTAGCTGGTGGCACTAGGGCTCTGGGAAACCATTCCTTTATTTTCCAGAATCCTATAGCAGTTGTTGCCTTGCCAACTGGTATGTGGAGTGTAAACTGCAAGGGTCTCCATCGATTGGGAGTGAAGAGGAGACTGTAGGTTGAAACTAACAAGGTCCCTGGAGTAATTTATTAGTATCGCTGATATTTTACAGAAGGCAGAATAGAAGGTGCTTATTCCTCCTGATAAGGCACGTATTCAGATATATATATTTATATATGTATGTGATATACACACATACACACATTACACTTACATACATACACACATACACACACATACATACATACATACACACACATATGTGTGCGCGTTCCTTCCTCCATTGGTCTGCTTAAGGCATATGCAAGCCTTTTCAATTGACCTCAGCTCCTTTCTGCCACCTTAGTTCTTGTTTACTTTTATGCCAGTTCAAAGGGAGAAGGAAGTTACAGCCAGAACCTCCACAGCTGTCCCTCCACTCAGTCCCTAACCTCCTTTTTCTCTCTCATCTTCTACCAGAACCCGTTAAATTTCACCCATGACAATCTTTGGCTTTTGTGAAATTTTCTTTGTCCCTTGTTTCCCATGACCTCTCTGTGGCTCCCCTCCGTGGCAGTAAGTAGCCTGGTTCTGCTCACCTGCTCCCTTTGATGGTGGCCTCTTCCTGTGCAAGCCCCTGCTTCTAGGCTCTCTCATCACTAGGTCTTAGCATTCTGCTCTTCCTTCTCCCTGGAGCTCCTTTTCTTTTTAAATGTGTATCACTTCACAGCTTTGCATGTCATCCTTGAGCAGGGACCATGCTAATCTTCTCTGTATTATTGCAGTTTTAGTCTGTGTGCTGCCAAAGCAAGCATGATTCCTTACTCTCATAGCTCTGAGGACTGTAGCTAAACTTGACCACATCCCCATGAGGAAGATATATAGAAAGGTCCAGAAGCCTGCAGGAATGTTTCTCAAACTGTAAATCATTCCATATGGCTGCAGGCAGCATGTGAAGGAAGGAATGGCAAAAGGGAGCTAGGCCTCCAGTAACCTAAAGTTGAGGAATTCATATTTGATTGTGAGATCAGTAGAAATGTCTGCTTATTTTGTTTTAAATTTTTAAACAAATTTCCTTATCTTTTATTTTATATGTTTAGCCTAGTGTCTACTTTGCTTCGTTTTTTTAGTTAGTTTTTGGTTTGGGGGTTCTATTTATTTATTTTTGAGACAGGGTTTCTCTGTGTAGCCCTGGTTGTCCTGGAACTCACTGTAGACCAGGCTGGCCTCAAACTCAGAGATCCACCTGCCTCTGCCTCCCTAGTACTGGGATTAAAGTTGTGTGCCTTCATAAGTATATTTTTAACTTTGCTTCACAAATAATTTATCTTTTAATCACAATTATAAGGCACACACACACACACACACAAATAGAAACCAAGAGAAATGAGTGACTTCCTGAGTTGAGTCACATTTTTCGGTTTCGAGTTCCTAGTCCCTTCTTCAGAAGGGTCTCATGGCACCAGGTGGGGGTGACTTTGAAATCTTCTTTTACTTGAGGTCTCACTAGAATACTCAAGATGTACAACTTGCTTGCTAGTGACCTCATTTATTCTGTCCTGCCTGAGAAGCAACTCTCTCCTCTTTTCTCATGTGGGCATTCAGGAGCCCCAAGAGCAGGAGTAAGGACCACCTTGGGAGGCCAGATGCCTACTGCTGAGGTGACTGGGGGTCTGTGAAGCAGACAGCTGGGCCAGCCCACACCAGAATCGCCCACACGCATATCTTTACAGCTGTTCCCACAGTGTCACTAAGAAAACATCCTTTAGAAGAGTCTGGAGATAAGAGCTGGGGGACACCCACAGAAATCATAGGACAGTAACCCCCCCCCCAGACAATGTCCCAAGTCCCTGGACTTCAGCTTCTTTGCTTTTAGTGATTTCTCCCATGGCCGTAAAAATAAAAGTCACTCTAGTCTCTAAAGTAGGTCACCCTGTGGGGGAAGGGAGCTGCTGAATGCAGATGTCAAGGAATTTTCACCCTTTTCCAAACCAAAAATAAAACTTGGAAACTGTCTGACTAAAGGAGGTACAGCTTAAGAAAAGCCAGGGAGAAGAAGGTGGGCGGGGTGTGCTTGCCCTAAATTCACTTGGCCCACAGCAGACCTCTCGCAAAGAACTTGACTCAGTGGCAATTCCTCAGCATGACTGCCCACTCCCTGTAACCCTGAACTCACAGGCCTCTTCCTGCTGGTAGGACTCTTGCTGCATGATGCAAATAATGGCTCCCTTCTCCCGCTCCTAGCCTGTAAAAAGCCTCTATTGATCCATCAAGGACTAGAGGGGGGTGACGAGGCAGAGAGGCCTTTTGGAGTTCTGAGATTCATTATCTGTTCTATAAAGCAGCACACGCAATCCCAGCAAAGGCTGGAGGAGAGGCTGTGGAGTCCACATGTGGGCTCCCCTGGCTTTGCTTCTCCTTTCCTGGCCACCAGCCAAGCTGGCTTTCAGCTGCTGCTCCTGTTTCCAGTGAGTGGACTCCCCTACCCACCCCTGCTATTATGCAGGGATTGGGATCTGGTGAGGCACAGAAAGGATGACAACTTCCAGCCAGCACAGCTGTGGCTTGATCTCCAGTATCCAGAGTTTTGGGAGACTCTTTGCAAGTTTGATGGTCAGGAAATATTAGTCTTTACTCTTTTTTAGTGGGCTGTTACTTTCCCAATCACAGGTCTTCTTCCCTGAGCAAACTCTTCCTTAAACAAAGCCTGTGAGTTCCCTTACAGTCAGATGGCCTAGAAGACCAGAGAGACAGACAGGAGCAGAGAGACACTTGCAGCGGGGATGCAAGGGTCTGTGCTGGGAAGGTCAGAAGGACAGGACGTTGGCAGTTAGTAGCAACTTGGAGAAGCCCTACTGGATGGTTATCTGGGATGTAAGAAGGGAATGAAAATGAAAAGCAGCCGAGGCATCTTCCACCTTAGTGTCTGGAGTCATGGAACCCAGGTTTGCTGAGTTGAAGAGAAGGTTTAGTTTGGTTTTGCTTTTGTGTTCCCTTTGTTACCTCAGAACAAGCAAGCTCCCTGCTGATGCCCTGCTAGGGATGGATGGAAGAATAATCAGTTGGGAGCAGGACTTTCAGCACACTCCTGACTACTCAAACAACTGAAAGGAGCCTTGCCTTAGGGGCGGGAAAGCTGGCAGAGGTCCAGACGATGGAAAGAAAGCGGAGACCTGGAGCCAGGGTTAAGCTTGATTAAAGGAGTCAGGGACAGCTGATTCTCACCTTCTGTAAGTTGGGGATGTGGCTTATGACATAGGCCTGGTGACCAGGTCTCGAAACATCATAGAAAATGCTTAGCTAAGTCTAGGTTTACCCACAAGCATCAGAGGCCTACCCTGGCCCTGAGCCATCTGCTAGAGATGTTCAGTGGCTATGCTAGTGAAGGCAGTGGTTCTTTCTGCAGCTCCCACAGATGACAGCCAGGACTCGTTCCTAAGTGGGCAGCATCCAGTGGTGCACACTGCTGTGGGTCCACAGAGAGGGGAGAGAGGCCTTTTGAGGAATGCAGTCCCCAGAGGCTTCCCCTTCTCTGACTGTAGGATTCCAAAGGCCTGAAACAAACCCCAGGATGCAGTCCAGCAAAGATGATTTGGGCTACATCCCTCTGGGACAGGGAACTTACTAGAGAGGCCTTTTATTTTTAAAACCTTCATTCCCATTGGAGAAAAACATTCAGCTAGATGTGTATATTTTACACTGTTAGCTTTCATTTTTTTCCCCTATTGTACCCTTATTATTACTACTAGCCAGGTGGTGGTGGCGCCCACCTTCAGTCCCAATACTCCTGAGGCAGAGGCAGGTGGATTTCGGTGAGTTTGAGGCCAGCCTGAACTACACAGAGAAACCCTGTCTCAGAGGGGAAAAAAAGAAAGAAAAGAGAAAGAAATATTACTGAAAAAGTCTAAGGGCTTGAATTAAGACAGAAGTGAGGCCTAACATCAACCTTGTTTCTACTGTTTTTCCTCCCAAAGCTTTCTGTGGTGTAGAACTTTTAATTTGCACAATGGTTCAAAGACTCAGAGACAAACTGCTCATTACTGGACAGAATGCCAGGAATCCTGGGAAGCCAACCTCACTCCCCACTGGAGCACTGCACCTCACAGTAAAGGCTCCTTTCATAGTCATGGAAGGTTGGATCAGCATTTCTTTTCATCTCATCTTCTTTTAGGAACTGCTGGGATAAAAGAGAGTCTAGGAGAATGAAATTTTCACAAACAGGACAAGAATAAAATATTTAGGGCAAAAGACCAGAAGTCCCTTGGATATTCAGTGAACTGAACTAACTCTACTAAAAAAAAAAAAAAGATAACTATAAAGAAATAAATTTCTGTCACACTCTATGCCGCAGTATGAGGCTTTAGAACACCACATACTGTCTCTAAGCAACATTGTTACAGCAAATACATGGAAGAGACTCAGGTTAACCCCAGAATAAAATGGGGGCAGTTCTGTCATTAACTTCATTCCCAATACTAACATGTTTTATTCTGAGTGTTCTGCCAAAGAAGTTAAAAGGTACATTCCCTACATATCCCCCTTCTAACCCTACTCTACCATCAGTAGAAGGAAGGGAAACACTGTTAGCCACAGAGAGAAAGAAGCAAGGCATTTTGGAGCAGCAATTCAAGTTTCCCATCATTAGTGGTCTCCCCCAAATCCTAAGGATGGTTTCTGAACGTGACATAGTTGGGAAACACCAAACTAAATTCTATCACCTTTACTTATTCTCTATTAATGTGATCTTCTTGGAGTACTTGTCTTTTTTTTTTTTTTTTATGAGACCTGTTCTGTGTATCTCTGACAGTCCTGGAACTTATGTAAATCAGACTGTCCTCAGACTGCCTCTGTCCTCCTGAATGCTGGGATTGAATACATGCGCCACCAAGCCTGCCCCCAAATGCCTTTAAACACCTGGCTTTTACATAGCTGTTAAAAGTTTTCAACTTGGGGGCCCAGCTCAGTGTAGAATGACCATCTAATATGTTTGGGGTCCTGGGTTCAGTTTCTATTGCTAGACTGGTTAATTTAATGAAGAGACTGGAGAACCCCTCAAAGTGGTCCCCATCCAAAAAGGCTGGATAACTCTAAACACACTGTATCTTATCCAGTCCTGATAATCCTACCTGGGCATCAAGATGTCCGGGCCTAGCAACAAGCATGGCTTAAGAAACATTCTATGCCCAGCAATTAGAGCTAAACACAGCTCTATGCTCTATTTTTTCATCCCTTTACTCATCACTGAAAGCATTTGTATGTCAACAAGAACTTTGTTCTTTGCGAGTTTTTACTCCTGTTCACTCCTTCCTGAAAATAGAGCTGATAAAATCCAAGAAAGTCACAGGGTTGGTGTGAGACAGACACAGCAACAAACTTCTGGTAGAACAAAGCTTAATGCCTGCCAGGAGCCAGAGGAAAAAAAGAATGAAAAGGACTCTTATTTGCTGATAGATCATTTAAAAATAGAAAACTCCTTTTACTCCTTTCCTACAAATGGACACAATTCTCTCACCCAGCAAGTGATTTATATACACAATTCACTTCTATGGCAATGATAAGAACAGTTGAGTGCTTCCCAAGTAGGAGGTATCTGGTTTGAGTCTGAGACAGGGTCTCAATGTGTAGCCTTGGCTAAGCTTCAAACTGGAGAACCTCCTGACTCAGCTTCCCAAGTGCTGGGGATTACCTGCATGCGTCACCTTGCCCTGCAGGTATGAAGTACTTTCCAAGACCATTAACTCAGTAATTTTTACAACTTTATGAGGTAAGTACAATTATCCTACTTTTACACTTGAAAAACAAAACAAAACA